AGGTGTGGAACAATATGAAAAGTAACAATATTTGCATAATAGGTGTCCCATAAGGAGAAGAAAGTGAGCAAGGGATAGAGAACAAGGTTGAAGAAATAATGGCAGAAAACTTCCCTAACCTGCTGATAGAAAAAGTCACACAGGTTCAGGAGGCACAGAAAGTCCTAAGAAAGAAGAACCCAAACAGGCCCACACCCAGATACATCATAATTAAAATGTCAAAACTTAAAGACAAAGAGAGAATCTTAAAGGCAACAAGAGAAAAGCAATGTGTTACCTACAGAGGAGATCCCATAAGGCTGTCAACTGATTTCTCACCAGAAACTCTCTGGGCCAGAAGGGAATGGAATGAAGTATTCAAGGTATTGGAAAGCAAGGACATGAAACCAAGATTATTATATCCAGGAAGGCTATCATTCAAAATAGATGGTAAAAGGAAGAGCTTCCCAGACCAAAAAAAGGCTAAAGGAGTTTATCACCAACCAACCAGCACTAAAAGGAATGCTAAGGGATCTGCTGTAATGAGGAAAAAAATAGAGAGAGGGTATATAAGCATACAGGATTAAAATGGCAATACATAAGTACCTATCAATAAGAACCTTAAATGTAAATGGATTAAATGCTCCAATCAAAAGACACAGGGTAGCTGAATAGATAATAAAACATCAACAAAATACATGCTGTCTACCAGAGACCCACCTCAGAACAAAAGACACACACGATGAGTGAAGGGACAGAAAAAATGTTTCCATGCACATGGAAATGAAAAAAAAGCTGGGGTACCAGTACTCATATCTAGTACCTATCAATAAGAACCTTAAATGTAAATGGATTAAATGCTCCAATCAAAAGACACAGGGTAGCTGAATAGATAATAAAACATCAACAAAATACATGCTGTCTACCAGAGACCCACCTCAGAACAAAAGACACACACGATGAGTGAAGGGACAGAAAAAATGTTTCCATGCACATGGAAATGAAAAAAAAGCTGGGGTACCAGTACTCATATCTGACAAAATAGACTTCAAAATGAAGGCCATAAGAAGAGGCAACAAAGGACACTACATAATACTAAAGGGATAGATCCAACAAGAGGATATAACTGGTAAACATATATACACCCGATATGGGAGCACCTAGATATATTTTTAAAACTTCTAGAGGACTTTAAGGGAGAGATTGACAATGGTACAGTCATAGTAGAAGACTTTAACACCCCACTGACTTCACTGGGTAGATCTTCCAGAAAAAAAATTAACAAGGAAATACTGACTCTATAAGACACACTGAATCCATGTGGATTTAAACATTTTAGAACATTTCACTCCAAAGCTGCAGAATACACACTCTTCTCAAGTGCACATGGGTCATTCCCAAAGACAGACCACAAGTATCTACAAGTTCAAGAAGATTGAAAATCATATAAAACATCTCAGATCACAATGGAATGAAATTAAAAATCACTCAAAAACATTTAAACACATGGAGGCTAAATAGCATGTTATTAAACAATGAACGGGTTACCAATGAGATAAAGACGCTAGATATATTTTTAAAACTTCTAGAGGACTTTAAGGGAGAGATTGACAATGGTACAGTCATAGTAGAAGACTTTAACACCCCACTGACTTCACTGGGTAGATCTTCCAGAAAAAAAATTAACAAGGAAATACTGACTCTATAAGACACACTGAATCCAGCTGGATTTAAACATTTTAGAACATTTCACTCCAAAGCTGCAGAATACACACTCTTCTCAAGTGCACATGGGTCATTCCCAAAGACAGACCACAAGTATCTACAAGTTCAAGAAGATTGAAAATCATATAAAACATCTCAGATCACAATGGAATGAAATTAAAAATCACTCAAAAACATTTAAACACATGGAGGCTAAATAGCATGTTATTAAACAATGAACGGGTTACCAATGAGATAAAGACAGAAATCAAAAACTTCCTGAAAACAAATGAAAATGAATACACAACAACAAAACCAGTACTGAGAGAGAAGCTCACAGCACTACAGGCCTACCTCAAAAAACAAGAAAAATTAATAATAAATTATTTAACTCTGCAACTTAAATAATTAGAGAAAAGTAAGAAAACACAAGAGCAAATAGAAGGAAGAAAATAATAAAGATTAGACCATAAATAAATGACTTAGAGACTAAAAAACAATACAAAAAAAACCAATGAAACCAAGAGTGGTTCTTTGAAAATATAAATAAGATTGATGAATCATTAGTCAGATTAATCAAGAAACAAGGAGAGAGGATCCAAATAAATAAAATCAGAAATGAAAGCAGAGACACAACAACTGAACACCACAGGAATACAAAGGATTGTAAGAAAATACTATGAACAACAATATGCCAAGAAGCTGGACAATGTGGATGAAATGGACAAATTCCTAGAAAAAATACAATCTCTCAAAACTGAATTAGGAAGAAATAGAAAATCTGAATAAGCCAATAACAATTGAGGAAATAGAAGCAGTAATCAAATCACTCCTAGCAAACAAAAGCCCTGCTGACAAAGTTGGAGGGATCACAATACCAATTTTGAAGTTATACTACAAAGCCACTGAATTCAAAACAACCTTGTACTGGCACAAGAACAGGTATATAGATCAATGGAAGAGAACAGAGATCCCAGAAATTGAACCAAGCCATTACGCTCAATTAATATTTGACAAAGGAGGCAAGAGCATACAATGGAGTCAAGACATTCTCTTCAATAAATGGTGTTGGGAAAATTGCAAAAAAAACCC